AAATAATCTTCTGTTCCAAATAATGTCATTTTACTAAAAGAACCCTCTCACGAATCCACTATGTAGAATCCACTATGTAGCCTTGCAGGTGTCAAAAGGTCAGAGTGTAAACTTTTATAAGGTAAATAAATGAAAATAAGCACTGATATGAAAATAAGGGATGAGAAAAGAAGTTGATTTTTCCAACCAACAAGCCATCTAAGATTTTCCCCCCTAGCACTCTTCTCGTCCCAGCTAGATTTATGTTTATCATCTGGACTGATGTTACTCCAGACAACCAGTTTAGTTCACATCAGCTGACATGGCTGTCCATCTTCCACCATTATTTGTCTTAGACCCAAACTGGATCCTGAGGTACCAACAGTTTTTCTTTTGAGTCTCTTGTTTAAGCTTTCCTCCACCATTAAAGGATCTCAGAAATCACCTCATTCAGCTTCCCAGGCTATCTTTCATTTTTAGATGAATCCATGCCCTCTAGTGACCACTTTCCTCATTGAATATGTCTGTTCTATTGTTCCTGTGTTTTTTTTTTTTAATGGTGAGTTTACAACAAAAGCATTGTCTACAGCAATTTCCACCTGTACCACAAAGAATTGACAGCCTACTGTCATGATCTGGCCTGTTTGCTCTCCCTTAATTAGTCATTCCTTTCACCTGTCGTTTTCCCTCCCTGCCTCAATTATAATTTATTCCTCTCACCTGTTTCCTCTGGTTTATATTCAGTTCAGCCTGAGCATTCAGTGCCAGATCATTACCTGTCTTTTTGTCAGTCTGTCTGTTCAGTTTTATTCCTTGGTTCGTGTCGTGGATCCTGGCGGCCAGTGGAAAGAGGGTTTTAGTGTTTGTCTCGTCTCCTGATCGTCCACTGTTCCTCCCCCGCGGAGTCCTCTGGGTTTTTGGCTCTATATGTGGGGAGATTCAGTTTTTATCCAGTAAGCCTGGCTCCAGGGAGGAGACCAGTTTAATGTCCTGCATCTAGTTCTGGTTCCACGTCCTGTCTCGGCTACCCTCTTCCACTGAGCCTGCTCATCTGCACCTGATCCTGTCTGCTCCTGTGCGTGACCACCCAGTCATGCTTCTGGTCCCAGTCAGACTCTGAACCCTCCTGGGAGCTTGTGAATTCCTTCGAAGTCTGGATCCTGCCACCTGTTCTCTTCCTGCCTGATCTGGATCCTGTTCCTGTCTGTTCCTGTCTGTTCTGGATCCCTGACCAGGATCGGCTTCCAGCATGTCCTCTGGAACTGCAGCACTTGGGGACATTCATGACCTGAACTGCTAAACCAGGTAAGTGACTCACTGAGAACATCATCTGCAGTCAGATGATCGTGGTCACTTACCTGTGTTTCTCCTGCAGAGTGTCTGTGATTAGGCGGAGGAGGAACACTCAGAGAGGCGGAGTTGGAGGAAGTTAGACGATAAACCAGCTCCAAGGAACTGAACAGAGAGCGTATTTATGGGAGACTGAACAAAAAGAGGAATAACGAGGAGATTGGGAGCAGGTGTGAACAGAGCAGAACAGGAAAGGAGCTAGGGAAAAAGGAGAACACAAGAGGGCAGCAGAGGGCAACAAATAAAAACCTGAAAACTGAAAATAACCAGAAAACACACAAAAAAAGAATTAAACCACTAAAACCAGAAAACAAGGAGCAAAGTAAAACTGAGTACTCAAAAGAAAACATAACAGAACCAGAACTGTGAACTGTGTCCCACTTTAGTCCAGTAATAGACATTAAAAAGAAATTGAAAAATGAAATATTTCACCTTTCCCTTTTCAACTAACTCTAGATATCGTTTAGACGTAAATTATTTGATATTTTTAACCCATTTTTGCTCGGTGGTTACCTGCTCCAAGAGCTGCATGTGGATGATAGTCAGTTTGAGTAAAACTTCCTTTTATCTAGCCGGGCAGAGAGCACCAGTGCTGGGGAGAGGCAGCGGCTGGCCGGGGTCCCCGCTGGAACTAGGACAACAAATGATGAAGGATCAACAGTCGTTTAAACCAGCTTTTTTAAAAGCCACCTAAAAACCTCTTAATAGTGTCCCTTATTTCATCCTTTGTCAAAATAATATTTTCTTTATTCCATTTCAATTGAAAATTTTTTTGTCTTTGCTGCAATCCTTTAACCGACGTCTAACCAAAACCAGTCCCTGATTGGTTATCGCTCTGCTCCTACTGAGAGGGAGGGACGAGGCCTTTCCGCTCTCAAAACGTGGAATACTGCGCTGGCCACCTCACCTCTCTTGCCTGCGCCATTTTCATGTAAATCCACCAATCTTGCAGCAGACACGGAGGTCGCTGTAAACTTACCATAAAGGAACCTTTTACTTTTTCTAAGCTTACATGATCTTAGTTTAACACTAGAACAATTTTACTCCAGTGTCAGTTCATTCCTCTTTGTGCATACCTCCTGCCATGTGTTATGCCTGGTAGACGTTGTGCTTTTGTAGTGTAGAGAGTCAAGTCTTTCAAGATGCCTGCTTTGCTCAACCAGACTGAACATCTCAGCTATTGTTCTCTGCAAAGACTCTCCAGCTGAGTCAGATTGGATGAAGATTATCTTTGAACATAAGTTTCCATGTCTTTCAGGGGTGATGCACAATTATAATTTTCCTAATTGCATAATATTTTGGTGGTACGCAACAAAGGTCACTTTTGGTTTCAAATAACCAGCGTCTTCTTGAAACGTTTGTAGCGTTCTCCCCATATGATGGAATAGAAGAGAAATCCCTTTATTGTCCCACAATGAGGAAATTCTGGGGTTTACAGCAGCAAAAGGATTATAGAAAAAATGGTCACACAAATGTGGACCTTTGAATAAATGTATTAAAATAACACACTAGTGAAGAGTTAAAAGATAAACAATTAAATACTGCAATGTAAAGTGTTTTAACAATATAAAATTGTGCATCAGGAGAATAAATAACCAATATACAGCTATGGACATACAGCTATGATGTGGGATTAAATCACACTAGGAATGTTTTAGGCCTTTGTTCCAGCCTCTCTTCCATAAAAATCAGATATGTAGATTGAAAAACTAACAGTCGTCCTGTCTGTTGACCTTCCACTTGAATAGTTAAACTCTGTGCTTTCTCCTCGTCTGATTGATGTTCTCCTCCCTGTGCAGCTTATCAGTTTAGATGTGGAAGGTAGGTTCAGGGTTTTCACGCTCTACCACACGTAGTTAGATTACACCAACAGTTATTATTCAGTCCTACATGCAAAACATGTTGCCCTTCCATATTAAAGTTGCTTACTTTCTTCTAATGGACTTTGAATAGAGACCAGATATGTGGATTTGGGCATGAAAATGTATCCCCATCTGAGTTGTGGATCTCATGCACTATCCATTTTTTAGATTATTCCATCTTCCCATCAACTCTGACCAGAATTATACCCCACAGCATGATCCGGCCACCATCTAGTTCTATTTTGGTCTCTTCTCCCACATTTGCTGTGATCTCTGTAGACCTTGTGGCAAATCTAGAGGGGATTTCTCATTGCCCTTATGCCAATATTGCTTTCTTCTTTAGAATTCTTTTGGATTTATACCGAGATTAAACTACAAATTGCATGGACTCTATTTACTAACTGGAACGACTCTAGTTGGATTATATTTGATGGTTTCAGAAACATACAATAACATACTTCAAAATATATTCATTTATTAAAAAATTATTTAACACAATGCTGTTTCAGATTGTCATTGAAGCTCACCCAGGATGAGTGAATGGTAGCCGGCGCTCGCGGATGACGTCATACAAGCGACACTTTGTTTTTTAAACATAAAAATATAAAAAAATATAACCACGGATGTCTGGGAGACAGTGATTCGCCTACATGTTATGAATGCTGGCGTACCATAAAGAATAAATTATGAACAGTTTAGTTTGTGCCTTCAAGTCGTTGCACATAGGAAGACGTTACCTGGATATAACCTAACGGAATATCTTCAGAACAGCTCCAAATGACACAAAACTCATATGGGTGAGTAGAACATGATGTAATAACGTAAAATCAAGGGCCCAAGGTAAAAAAAAAACCGGCGTACCCCTTTAAGTAAACACCTTTTCATATCTTGATTTATGGTGTGATTTTTAAAGTCGTAGGGAAGTGGCTGTTCCAACGGTTGCAGTTCCGAATTCTCCCGAGCGGTGCACGACTTTACACGAGGGAATAAAGTGAATGTGATAGGTTGATTATCCAGAGGGTGGGATTGTTGTGACGGAAGGTTCGCAAGCAAGTTTGGTTGTGGCCGGTTTCTGGAAGGATCTTGCTAACCAGTTAGCAACTTAGTGCTATAGGTTCCCAATGGGAAATTTTATTGGGACCAAGTAGCACTAAATTGGTGACTCAATTGATGCTCAATTCCGATTTTTTTGTGAAATCCGATTTTTTCGCATTGCCGTTCATATTTCCAAATATATGCGACTTGTATATGATCTACTGTGTGAACTGCAGTCATATAACTCAAGTGTCCCGCATGCGCAGTAGAGGACGCAATGATTCTTAGTGAGGTGCCACTGAGTGTTTTCTGTCATTACAGGGGCCCTAATAGGGGCCAGGACAAGTTCTACCGGGGCAGTGGCCATGTTGGCCTCTGTCCTCAACCACCTGGTTGCATTATGACAAAAAGTTCAACATGTATAAATACTTTTCCAATGTATCCATATATATATATATATATATATATATATATATATATATATATATATATATATATATATATATATATATATATATATATATATATATATATATATATATCAATTTCATGCAGAACCCCCTTTGTAATAGAGTTGAGTTGCACTGGATGTAATGCTTATAAAGGGCTTCAGTGTCTTCTGGATGTAGATGTTTTAGTGCTGCTTGGCTCTTCATGCTTTCTACTGCTGGGAACTGTATGAACCCAGAACTACATGTACAAGAAACACTGCTTCTCCTCCTCTCTGTTACACACACACACACACACACACTTAGAGAGACAGAGAGAGAGAAAGAGAGGAGGCGGAAACCTCCATCTGCCCTGCTCGGTGACCGACCCGTCATCCTCAGGAACCGGGAGGAGACGGATCATCTCCTCGCTTCTCCTCCTTTTATTCTCTCGACTTTACATAACACTGGGTGCAGAAGGGAGAGTGGTTTCGGTGCAGGGCTGATGTGAAGAAATAAAAACAGCAGATTTAATGAGGATGGGATCTATAGTCTATATATAGGCTGTGCCCCGGACTGCACCACCACCAGAAGCAGCTCCACCGCCACCAGCTGCCCCCCATGGTACCGGTAAGTCACGGAGGGAACAGCGGGGGGGGGGGGGGGGGGGGGGGGGGGGGTCTCGTCCCGGGGCGGGTTGGTCCGACCGGTCCGATGAGAACTGACCCGTGAAAAGGACTTTTGAGGTCTTGTGAGGTCGGGTTACCGTTCAGCCATGTTGATGGAGAGGGGGCGGGAGGGAAGAGGAGGTGTGTGTGTGTGTGTGTGTGTGTGTGTGTGGATTCGGTCGCGCGCTGACACCTGCCCCTGTTCCCGGTAACGACAGGCGGCGCGAGCGGAAACCGTTGGAGCTGTTCAAAACTGAGCCGAGCATCGCTCCGACATCCCACCCCGGGGTGGGGGGGGGGTGACTTTCTGACTCGGTGGGCTGAGGAGTCTGAGCGCCGTTCAGCCATGTTGCAGCAGGGGGGCGGCTGTGGAGGGAGGGAGGGGAGAGGTAACCGAGCTAACACACAGCGGGGCTCCGGGGGGCTCTGACACCGACCGACCGACCGACACCGGGAGGAGGGGGTCGGTGTCCGGTGAATTGTCGCTCCATGCCGGATGCGGCGGCAGCAGCCCGCGTGGTGTCGCCTAGAGACGGGGGCGAGAGGCTGAAAGAAACGGGGTCGAGTGTAGCGAGTACACAACGTGCTCCACTTATTTTCATTTATACATAAAAATTTATTATTTAGAGGTTCAGTTGAAATAAATGTAAATGTGGTGTGAGTTCTCTTTATTTTATTTATTTTTTTATAATAAAAAAAATAAAAATACTAATTGCTATGTGTTTATGAGTTATATTTTTCTTAAAATTATTCGTATGATTTGATTGTAATGTCATGTTGGAAGAATTCAAATTAAAAATATTATTTATTGACCTTTATTAAAATGTCTAAGCTTTGTTTTTATATAAGCTTTAATGAACTATATTTTTATTTAATCCATTCTAACATATTTATTAATAGAATTTAGCTAATTCACCTGACAATGAAACTTTAATGTTTTGATAACAGTAGCCTGTAAACATACGATTTGCCCAATATGTTGTTTTCATATGTTTGTATTGAAAATGTTAATAAAGGATGTGAATTGCGTCTGTTTTTTTTTTTCTATTTTATAGGTTTATTACTTCAGTAAAAATTGTAATATTTATTTCATATGTATTTATTTGAACAATTAGTGTTTTAATCTATTATATTACTTTATATCAGAATATTAGGTAATTATCCCTGATGTAATGTTTTTCTTTTGATGTTTTATTAGTTTTTTTTATCTCTGTTTAAGAAGAAATATATTGAAAAAAAAACAAATATATATATATATATATATATATGGGACACAGTCAGGGTATAAGTGAATGAAGAGATCTAGACTGAGATGGTGGCAGGCTGAAGTGACGATTATTGATTGTAATTGATGATTGTTTGTCGGTGGGAAGGTCAGGGTAGGAGATGACACAGCAGGGTTTGTTACCATGGTGGTAACGGGAAAGATTTATCCTCTTATTATTATTAGGCTCTATCTGTTCAATAATTTATTCATTCACAGATTCACTTTGTTCGTGTTCCTCTTCTCCTCCTCCCTTCCACTCTGTCTCACCCTTGTCCTCTCCCACCCGTCCTCCTCGCCGTTTTTTTCTTCCTCTCCCCTTGTTTCACCTCGTTCCCCTCCATCCGTCTCTCTTCTTCTGTCTTCCAGGTCAACGAGAGGCAGCAACAGCTCGCTGTGAAGAGCAAATCCTCCCTCTGCAATCCCACTTCTCTTCTCTCCTCCACCATGATCTCCTCGCTTCCATACGTTAGGAACCGCAGCTCTCTTATTTTAGAAACACTGCCTTACTCCTTCTCTTTTTCCTCCTCCTCCTCCTCTCTTGCCCTTCTCTTTCTCTGAGTTTCGACTCTTGATATTTCTTTACTTTTTTTTTGTCAAACGCACACGAATCCACGCTGTAAGATGAAGCGTGGGTCGAGTGTGTTGCAGCCTCCCTCTGATGCTGCCAAACGACACACACACCCCACACTCACAAAGACTCCCTCTGGTGATGATGCGTTCTCGCTGAGAGCGTCCGACGCGCAAGCGGAGAGCACGCTGGGCACGCGTGCCGCAGGTTCGAGTCCCTTCCCCTCAGCCACCTCTCTGTTCAGCCCTGATGTCAGCACCAAGATGGCGTCTGACCTCCTCATCAGGCTTTCAGGTAGTCCCACAGACACATCCCACTTTACTTAGCTGTTGCATCGGTCATACTGAGATGATTAGCAGGAAAGACTCTCATGATAGCAGATCTGTTGAATGTTTTTACAATTAGGAATGTATGGGCAAAGGGAAGGGTTTACTCTTTGCTGCAGAGCTGCAACAGATGGAGGAAAAAATGGAGAAAAAAATACTTTTCATCATATTCCAAACAGGTAAATGCAGATACCCATGCAACCAATTTATTCCATCTGCATCTGATAAATGACCCTTTACACAGGTCATTTAGCAGCTGCTGCAGACTCCAAGGATCCAGGCCGACCATCATATAAACCGAGCACATGCAGATTCTTTAGACTCAAGGATATTAAGAGAAAAACGCAGCTTACCTTAGATCCAGAGCCGCCTTTAATTGCCGACCCATGCCATTATATGTGGAGGCCTATTGTAACCCTGAAATAACTGAGCCCTGATTCGTTCTTTTCTAAATTCTTGGATCCAGTAATGCCAGCTAAAAGAATTCAGCAGATTCAGAAGTATGCTCTTTGATTATGTCTATTTTCTGTGCAGCCACCTTGGGTTCTTTTAGCTTTGAAAAACTGCAGATTCTTTGGAGAAAAAAAAGATTCTTGTGAAAATATTCACACCCCTTAAAGTTTTCCAACTATTTTTGAGAAGTTTTTATCAGGTATACTGGCACAAAGTATTGGGTAATAGTAAAACGGAAAGAAAAACACACAGAGAGTATTTAATTAGATGAACAGGTAGGTGACCCATGGGAATTAGATAGACTTAGACAAAAAAAACACAAGGTGAATCTTAACAACGAAATGTCGATTACTTGGCTACCAGTGTAACAGAGCTAAGACCTTATTCCTGCACAATAAATATGTTTTCTATGAGTAAGAGCTAGCTATATACAGGGTAAGAGTATATATGAGCTGCAGATATCCTCAGCTCTGGTGGGAGACCATGTTGAAAGAAGACCCTGAAGTCCTCGTTGCATTTAGAAAATGCAACAAACACCTGAAAGATCTTCTGATGAATTGAGCCAAATATTCAACTTTCTGACTAGCCCTACACCTGATTAGCCTCGTGAGACCGTCCTGATCTCGCGAGCTTTCAAGGTTTCACTCGCAGATCAGTCTGGCTACTTTCCGTTGAAGAAAATTTGGAGCCGTTCACCAAACGAACGTCCAATCAGCGTTGGCTTTGAGGCGGGTTGAGGTGTGACGCAACGAGAAGCGAGACAGTTCAGTCTAAAGAACATGGCGGCTTCAGCCGCTGAAACTAGCGTTAACGTGGCTATCGAGCAAGTTTTATCGGAATTACAGAGTATTTCTTCACTGAAAGAAGAGCAAAACACTGCTCTGGAGGCTTTTCTCAGAGGAAAATATGTTTTTGCTCTTCTCCCGACTGGTTTCGGCAAGAGTTTGATCTATCAATCGGCTCCTCTTCGTCGTCGCTCTGTTAGTACGTCATATGCTTCGTTGATCTGATTGGTTTATTTGGCCCGTCTATCACCAACATAGGCCAATCAGCTAACCAGTATTTTCGACTTAAACGGAAGGTTTCCAGATGGATATGCAGAGCAAATCCATCTGGCGGAGTCAGGTTAACACCTGATAACACCGTCCTATTGTGGAGGAACGGTGGTGGCAGCATTATGGTGTGGGAATGTTTTTCTTTAGCAGGGAACCTGGAAAGAATTAATTGCAAGATGGATGAAGTCATGTGGGGGATAATATATGAAGGAAACCTGTAAAATGCTGGAAAAGATTTGAGAGGAGGGTGGTGGGTCGCCGTCCAGGAATGCAACAACTCTTAACATACAGCCACACTATGCGGAAAAAAACACCTTTTTTGTTGTTGTTTTTGTTGTATTAACCTGAAAACCAAAGTTTTTTATCTATGCAAACCTTTGGTGAACTGTAAAGTGCTTGGAGATGACATGTGTTGTAAATTAGCACTATTTAAATAAATAAACTCAACTGAAAATGATATAGTGACGATAATTTAAGTCAGTTCAGAAAATTAGGAAAAAGATAAGACGTCAGTTAACTTTCATGTTTATGCTGTGAAATGTGGCAAAAACCAACTTTTAGAGTTTGCTTTTGAGTTAAAGACTCAATGCTCTTTTAATGTATAATTTTAACAATACAAATTGATGCCAATCAAAGTAACTGCTCTGTACAATGACAGTGAAGCCTTATTTATTTCTTATTTGAGTCTAAAGTTGACCTTTAGTTAAACCACCAGTAATCAGGCTAATCTATAGTGGTAAATCAGCACAGTTCTTGCTTCTTGGATTAACCGTAAATGTTGGGAAAATTAAAAAAAGGTGGAAAACAATCATTTCAAGTTACATATAATTCAAAGTTTGGAAAACTACTTAATGATTACGTTAAAGTCCAAAACTTGAAAATCTGCTCAAGTATATCAGCTTAACATTTTGAGTTGCTGCTATTTTCAAACATTCATGACTTTAAAAATGTCCATAGCTGCATATTGGTTATTTATTCTCCAGACGCAAAGTTTTTTATACTGTTGAAACACTTTACAGTACAGTATTTTATTTTCTATCTTTTAAATCTTCTAGTATGTTATTCTTATACATTTTTCTAAGGTCTAAACACCAGAATATCCCCTTTGTGGGACTATAAAGGGATTTTCTATTCTATTCTATTCTGCCAACTTTCCCTTTTTTTACACTTGACTTTTTCCATGACTAATATTAAAGTAAATCTTTGTGTTAGAATGGCCTAGTCAAAGTCCAGACATGGATACAAAGAAATAATAATTATATTGGAAGACTTGAAAACAAATAGGATAAGTTGTGTATCCAGTCTTATTGAACATTTGATCATAATATCTGTTGCACCTGGAGCCTTTAAGGGCATAAAAAGATGATTAAACACAAATATTGAATCAGTTTTATTTTCCATATCATATCAGTAATTTAAGGTCTATGACTGTAGAGTCACAGCAGTGGTTCAACAAGTATTGAGATCTTTACAAAAATGTATGTCGATCTCTCCAATTTGATTAATGAGTATAGATGTTAATAAGTGTTGGTAGAGAAATACATAAAAAAGATCAATGATGGTTTATATAAAATGGAAATCATTGTCCCATGAAAGACGGTGAGTGTCTTTGCTGGGAGCAATAATCCGATATCTCTCTGATCAGAGTTCCCATCCATCCACCTTAGACAACTCAAACAGAAAAAAATGGAACCTGTCAGTCCAATCAAGAGGGAAGCATTCAGATAAGATGTAGTTCAGTCCATAATGTGGTAAAATGTTTGCGGACCTGATGAATTCCTCCCGTGTGAGGCCAGCTGGAAACACAAATAAATTCACTCTTTGAATAAAAATAATTTAATCTGTTATGATGAGATGAACCATGAGGGAAAGGGACTCATCTGCAGTGATGAGGAATTCCTCTGGTTAATATTAGGCAGAGGTTTTTTACAGACAAGGATTTTATATTTTAGAACCAGACTTTGGAATGTGTCAAATAAGTTTTAATTAATTTAGAGCAATTGGAATTAGTTCAAACCAATTCACAATGCAAATCCATGAGGTAAATACATTTTTGCTTAATCAGAAGCCAATAACCTTTAGTTAAAAGATTCTTAAAGTCGTAGGGAAATCATATTTAAATTTCAAATCATTCTGGCTTAAACATGTATATTTGTTAACATGTAATAAAATTTATATATTTTTAAAAAAATCCTGTCTTAAAATCTGTGGGAGGAGGGCTGATGCAGTCCAGTTAGTTATACGTCAGCTTGTACACCTAAATTCGGCCAATCATATTTCAAGGGTCATCTGTCAATCACATTTTTAGGTCATAGCATCTTGATTCATATGTCGCAGCTAATATATGCAACGGTTGAAAAAAGAAATAAGAATAATTTACTTTCCCATTGAGTTACGTCCCAGAATTCACAGGGATGGAGGACGCCAGGGCGGCAAGTTTCTTCATGACCATAAGGCGCACCGTACTAAAAGGCGCAGTCTCAGTTATGTGTGCCATTACTGTATTTAACACACACATAAGACGCACCGGATTATAGAGCGTGGGTTTTATATACCGGTACATGTCCTCTACTACATTTAAATACCTCTAGTGGGAGCAAAACTGAGTATGATTGTGCTTTATTCATGTATTTATTACAAAGTATTAATCAAACCCATCAAAGTCATCATCCTCTGTTTCTGAATTAAACAGCTGCGCTAAATCAGACATGCCATTTTCCCCTTCTTCGCTGTCAGAGTCACTTTCCGTGCCGTGCGGCTCCTCGGAAATGATGCCGGCTTTTGTGAAAGCTCGAACAACAGTTCCAGCAGACACGTTAGCCCAAGCATCAACAATCCATCCGCAAACGGTGGCGTAACTTGCCCGGCGCTGCCTTCCACTTTTCATGAAACTGTGGTCTCTGTCGGTCATCCAACGCTCCCACGCCGCTCGCAGCCTTACTTTGAACGGCCGGTTCACACCGATGTTTCACCATGTTTTTCACATCAGCTGTGAGATGGGCACGCATGGAGTCACAGATTAAAAGCGATGGTGATGCATGGAAAAAAAAAACACCTGGTCTCCTCACATACACCTGCCTCAGCCACGCTTTCATAATCTCCTCATCCATCCAGCCCTTTTCATTTGCCTTAATAACGACTCCACCTGGAAATGTCTCTTTAGGCAAAGTCTTTCTCTTAAAAATCACCATAGGCGGCAGTTTCTGTCCATTTGCGTGGCAGCCAATCCACCCCCACACTTCCCCCTTTAACGTTCTCATGGCGGTCTCAACAACGTCCGCAGTAACAACACACATAGGGCGCACCGCACTATAGGGCGCGCCGCACATTTTGAGCCTGAATTTATGAGCAAAGGTAGTGGCGAGTCATTCCATGGTTTCTGCCACTTTGTCGATGAGATGTGGTCGCAGGAAAAGCTGCAAATAAATGTGCAGCAGCAAACTCTTCAATGTTGGCTTCAATTAGGCTATTTTATTATGAATGTTTCTTGTTGAAAATTATTTTTATGACCTTTAATTCAACACATCTTATGCTTTGTGGTATTCTGCACTTCATTTCATCTTGGTGGTCTCTTTTTAAACACCACAATGTAGTAAATAAATACAAATGCTAGGAACCAATTATTTTTTACATTTTTAAAATATTTTTTTCTATTCAGCTACACAAGCATCCTCTTTAAACTACTAAGAATTGGACTATAAGTGTGACATTACCTGATTCTTATGTACACCTTAGTGATTTATTGATATGCCGCACAATGTTGTCCTTTTTGGTGCTATAGAAATGGCCACCCTAGCGCTACTTACAGGTGCTGACCTCTGCCCTGACTGTGCCGTCTGTTCACCTCCCGATATTCTGCCCCTTCCATCTTTATCACCTGCAGGATCAGCTCCCCTCTCCCTCCATCCAGGCTCCTTTTATTTTGGCTTCAATCAGCCTCTGGTGAAACCTGCGCGTAGAATATGCTCAGCGCAGTTACTGCGCTCCGCGTCCTAGACAACCGGCTTCAGTCCAGTGTGCTTGGATTGTTAAAGGAGGGAAATCAAAAACCAAAGCAATCCAAACATGCAAAGCACAACAAAACAAAGAAAAATACAATCATATTATCATATAATATATTATCTTAATAAGTATCTTAATTATCTTAATAATTTTATTAATATAATAAAAGTTTATTAATAATATTGATATAAATTTTTTGTTTAAAAAAAAACTATGTATGAGGTCTTGGTTCAATAGACCAGTGTTTTTCAACCCAGGTCTTCAAGGCACCCTGCCCTGCATGTTTTAGATGTTTCCCAGCTTTCACACACCTGTTATCAATTGATAGCAGATTATCAGGCTTTGCTGAACTGCAATCATCTGAATCAGGTGTACTGAAGCTCAGAAACATCCAAAACATGCAGAGCAGTGTGCCTTGAGGACCAGGGTTGAAAAACACTGCAATAGACTATGTACATTTCAATATGTTTTAATAAACATTTAACCAGTTTGGCCCTCTGGTTTTAGCAAATTTTTTTTTTGGGGCCTCGGTTTATTTGACTTTGACATCCCTGATCTAGAGCCATCTTTTGATGTAGCCCATGAATACCACCACTGTCAATAGATAGTGTACAAATTGGAAAGAGATGACCGTCACTCTTGGACGGCATTATGGCACGTTTAATATAAACATATAAATGGTTGTTTTTATTACTTCCTCGTGTAGTGTGGTGTTGTCAGCTCGTGGTTTGCGCTGTTTTAGCAGGTCATATTCCAAACAGCTCGTACGTGCGTCCAGCATAACTCAAACCTTACTGATTCCCAGAGTCAATGCTGAAGGGGGGGTGTGCCTTAATGAGCACTATTTATACCCAAATACCCAAATTTACTGTTTTGACCAACAGGAAAATTAAACTGGCACGGTTTAACCGCAAAGGACCAGCCCTAACATGGTTAAGACAAATATTACAGAACCAAAGAAACATCTCACAACAAAATCTATAAAAGAAATAGATTAAAGGAATAGTACACCCAAAACATGATTAGCCTTCATTTTCTACTCACCCCCATGCTGAACAACACTCTGGAGTACTTTTTTGATATCTCAAATGCATCTGGAGATCTGGGAGGCTTCTTGCTGTCTGCTGACATTCAAATAATGGAGGTCCATGGCGCCCGAGACAGAAAGGTCCACAAAAGTCCACAAAAACGTGTCAATATTCCTCCATACTGCTCGTCCAATGTATTCCAAGTGTCCTGAGTGGGTAGCATCCAGAATTTACTCGAAACGAAGTCATTTAGAACGTTTTAGAGCCTAAACAGTAGTGTATAGGATTTCCTAATAGCGCCCCCATGCGCGCTCACGATTCTACGGAAGCCGGCAGACCAAACCGGAAGAAAGTGCGCATTCAGCGTCTGCTCTGCCGATAATGCAAGCGTAGAAGAAGAAATGTGCTGTTTACCTGTGCAAAGAAAGAAACAACGAAAGAAAAATGTCTGAGGACTTCAGTGTTGAGGAAGAGCAAGAGTTCTTTGCCGAGCTGAATGCGCTGGTTTGGTCTGCCGGCTTCCGTAGAATCGTGAGCGCGCATGGGGGCGCTATTAGGAAATCCTATACACTACTGTTTAGGCTCTAAAACGTTCTAAATGACTTCGTTTCGAGTAAATTCTGGATGCTACCCACTCAGGACACTTGGATTACATTGGACGAGCAGTATGGAGGAATATTGACACGTTTTTGTGGACTTTTGTGGACCTTTCTGTCTCGGGCGCCATAGACCTCCATTATTTGAATGTCAGCAGACAGCAAGAATCCTCCCAGATCTCCAGATGCATTTGAGATATCAAAAAAGTACTCCAGAGTTTTGTTCAGCATGGGGGTGAGTAGAAAATGAAGGCTAATCATGTTTTGGGTGTACTATTCCTTTAATAAAACAAAAAGGGAGCGCGAGAGGAACATAGTGCCTGGGATGAGTTAGACTTTAACATCCAAATTCCAATCTTGTACCAGGAAGACATAAAAATAAAAGCAAAAAAAATTGACTTTTAAATACCGGTAGGTAAAGAATATTCATTAGCCACAAATTTAGTAAAGCTAATGATGCTAACTGTATCAAATCAAGAACGACTTAAAGAAAACTTGATCCTTTATGTTTAGCATAAGGTTAACATCTCTGCAGACCTTTGACAGTTGGGGGGTAAAGTCTGCTTTGTGATTTAAAGTCGTGTTTTGTTCCTTGCAGAGGCTACTCAGAAGGCCCAGTTGCATCCTGGGAGTGGAGAGGAGGGGGAGCAACAGGATGAACCTGGCGTCGCACTCTCACCCGATGGCCCCGGGGCGAGTCCGGAGCCGCCATCATTGACGCACACCCCCGAGGGAAACGCCGTCACAGACACTCTGGCTTCAGACCTTCTCAGGAAACTAGCAGGTACAGATAGCTAAATAATATGACCCAGAAATATGTAAACAGCAATATATATATTTTTTTTTAAATGTCCAGAAATAAAACAGACTCTATATCTGATATTTTCCCACCTGTTGCAGAGCGTCAGGAAGTGAGCGGCAGCATTCTGAGACTCAAAGAGGAAGAGGAGCCACTGGAGGTCGACGCAATGACCTCTAATCAGCCAGAGGCCACGCATTGTACCTCAAGGATGACAAAACACCATCTTTTCACCGTTAAAACAGAAAAGCAGGGCCTCAACAGGAAAAAGAAAGCTGAACAATTGAACCCTGGAGCCAAAATGGTGGACAATTTTAACTTTGGTCTTAAAACAGAGGACGGATGCACTGCCTTGAAAACAGCAGACTGCTTCATCAATCCTTCAAACAGTTGTCAGTTTCAGGTGAAAGTGGAGGAACTAACGGAGGACAATCAGATCCATACCAGAGCCAAGATGGATGACCTTTCTCCCGTTAGAGCAAACGGTCCAGAGAAATATTTTTCTGAAGCCAAGCTGAACGACAAACTCTTCTGCGGTCTCAAGAAAGAGAACCAGTGTCCATCGGGTGCCATGATGGAGAATGGGCTTATATCTGGAACCAAGATGGCTGCTCAGGTTTTCTCTGGAGCAAAAATAGAGGAGCCGTTTCTCTTCGGGGCCAAGATGGAGGACCAGTGCCTCAGGGCAGTTCTGTGGCAGGACATGTCCGTCAACTTGGCCTCCACATTGCTGCACCAGCTCTCCGGTAAATCAATTAATCACTTACTTTGGTTGTTCTATGGTCAATATTTAAATATTTAAAATAAATTTTGAGACAGAATTACTTTCCAGGGTTCCGGGGAAACTAGTGCGACTAAAAAAAAAGGAGGACGAATTAATGAGAAGTTGAGAAAAATCAAAGTATGCAAGCCTATTTCCGCGGGTCATTAAAAATCATTAAAAGTCATTAAATAATTTTTCAAAGTAAGGCCTATTTGGCATTAAAATTCATTAAACGTGATTATCGTATTTGAAATGCTTTAAAAAAAAGTTTATAAAAACAATTTTGTCAGCTATAATATATCAGGTATATCTGGTTCCACATGTTTGCACGGAACGGCCGTATGTTCGGAAAAGTAGCTTGAGGCAGAGAAAAGCGCAAATTTCAACAAAAGTGGCTGGAAAACGCAAATTCTGAAAAATGGCTGCAGCCTGTCGACGTTAATGATGATGAACAATTTTGCTGTGTTTTGTATTTTGTATGTATATATATATATTAGGGATGGAACGGTTTTTGAAAACCGTCCGAATCGTTTGGTCCGACTGTCTCGGCTCGATTCGCGTGTGTTGCGTTCGGTTCATGCGCTGCTCCTTTTTCTCATAGGGAAGCGTTTACACTCCAGAGCAGAAGGTGGCGGTACTGCGACCAAAGCCAACCACCAGTAGTAAACAAGAAGAAGAAGAAGCGAAGCAGCTTAGCCGGGTGTAGCAGAAAAAAATCAGTTGTTGTGGGGAATTGTGTGGGTATGGCGAGTGGGAAAGAACAGGAGCTGGAAGACGCGCCAGCAGCACTTTATAGGTCTGCTGTATGGGACCACTTTGCATTTAGAGTGACCTACGATGACGGCGGAAAGACAGTGGTGGATAAAAGTGCAACAGTGTGCAAGCATTGTGCAACACCTAACAATCAACATATACCAAACCGAACTGAAAACCGTGACCACGAAACTGTGAACCGAACCGAAACGTGGATTTTGTGAACCGTTCCACCCCTAATATATATATATATATATATATACCAACATAGGCGAAACCAGGTATATATATATATATATATATATATATATATATATATATATATATATATATATATATATATATATATAAATATACATATATGAGAGTCACGGGTACTTGTTGATTGCATTACAATTATTTCTAAGTATTAAAACAGCATTTAAATGAATTAAATTAGAGTTACTCGTTCCCGTATAAACCCTTCTATATCAAAACCCAGCAAGAGAAAACAGTTACAGCAGAAATATGTACATATCAAGCATAACAGAATCACCAATTAAAATGTTGACCAATAGTGGGTAGAAAGGTTTTTTACTCAGTGTGTGTCTGAATGATTTCAGCTAATTTGACAAAAACAAGACAATGATGTTTTAGAGGTTTGGTTCATAAACCCTTTAGAGCTTCCGCTCCTCTGGGATCTTCCTGGCCTGCGGTGGTCATTATATTTCAAGAGTGAAGGAAGTCATTGAAGGACTGGAGGGGTAGGAAATGGGTGACAGGGTCACAGGCGGCTGAGGCTCCTTGATGTGTGCAGGGAGTGAAGTCTGGACCATGTGGGCCGATCCTACAAGACAACCTGACGTAGCTTAAACCGCACAAGAGCTTAAAGGAATAGTACACCCAAAACATGATTAGCCTTCATTTTCTACTCACCCCCATGCTGAATAAAACTCTGGAGTACTTTTTTGATATCTCAAATGCATCTGGAGATCTGGGAGGCTTCTTGCTGTCTGCTGACATTCAAATAATGGAGGTCTATGGCGCCCGAGACAGAAAGGTCCATAAAAGTCCACAAAAACGTGTCAATATTCCTCCATACTGCTCGTCCAATGTAATCCAAGTGTCCTGAGTGGGTAGCATCCAGAATTTACTCGAAACGAAGTGATTTAGAACGTTTTAGAGCCTAAACAGTAGTGTATAGGATTTCCTAATAGCGCCCCCATGCGCGCTCACGATTCTACGGAAGCCGGCAGACCAAACCAGCGCATTCAGCTCGGCAAAGAACTCATGCTCTTCCTCAACACTGAAGTCCTCAGACATTTTTCTTTCGTTGTTTCTTTCTTTGCACAGGTAAACAGCACATTTCTTCTTCTACGCTTGCATTATCGGCAGAGCAGACGCTGCATGCGCACTTTCTTCCGGTTTGGTCTGCCGGCTTCCGTAGAATCGTGAGCGCGCATGGGGGCGCTATTAGGAAATCCTATACACTACTGTTTAGGCTCTAAAACGTTCTAAATGACTTCGTTTCGAGTAAATTCTGGATGCTACCCACTCAGGACACTTGGATTACATTGGACGAGCAGTATGGAGGAATATTGACACGTTTTTGTGGACTTTTATGGACCTTTCTGTCTCGGGCGCCATAGACCTCCATTATTTGAATGTCAGCAGACAGCAAGAAGCCTCCCAGATCTCCAGATGCATTTGAGATATCAAAAAAGTACTCCAGAGTTTTGTTCAGCATGGGGGTGAGTAGAAAATGAAGGCTAATCATGTTTTGGGTGTACTATTCCTTTAATGGTTGGTTCCAGGAGAAAAGTGTCAGAACACACAGTGTGTCACATACTGAGTTTCACAGCTACATACCAATCAGGGTGGAAACAGTGTCTGATGCCTTTGACATCTTTCAGCAAGATGAAACACCCTGCCTCAAAGCAGAAATGGCGTAGGAATGCTTTGACTTGACTTTCCAATTCCCCAGATCCCCGGGCCCACAAACCCAACTTGAAGGATCTGCTGCTGACGTCCTGCTGCTAGAACTGCAGCACATTTTCAGGGGTCTGGTGGCGTCCAGCCCTCAATGGGTCACTGTTAGATGTCTGCTTGGTGCTTACAGACAAAAGTAAACAAAGGAAGGGAGCCAATCAGAAATGAATGCAATGACAGCCTTAAGCAAAACTTACCTTAAAGAATATGCCAGAAGAAGTAAAATCCAAAGAATATAACAGAATTAACGACAAAGGCTACTTAAAGACAGAAACACACAGACTCATCACAAGAAACCACCGTGAGTTCTGCTCATTTAGTTCCTTTGCAGTTCTGTTATAAAGCAGTTTTAGCTTTTATATAACTGATTTTACAGGTATGCAAAGGAGGCTTTTATCCCAGGAGATCCCAACCATGCATCAGGCTGGGGTTTTCCATTATGTTTTTAACCTGCATGAGAAACAATAATCTAGATTAGGGGTTCCAAAAATGTCTTCCAGCAGTCCACACTTTCTCTGCTCTCTTTTTCTCATCGTCTTCTCCTTCTTTCCCATCGCCCGGCTTGCCACAGGTTTGCCTGCTGTGTCTAAAAGTAACCCAGACTGACAGCAGCTCATTGGCTAATTACAGTAGTATCACGTGTAGCCCTTTGATCCAGGGCTTTACCGTATTAACAGGAGAAGCGGCGCAAGTGAAGTTAGAGACTGTTGTCGGAAAACATGCAGTAATTTATAAATGTTTTAAATCAGGTTGGGTCCAGATTAGCCAGCACGTGGATCCAGATCCGGACCCTGATCCACTAATCCATGCCTCTGCTTTAGATCATATAAAGTTACTGCAGTTACTTTGGCTGCTAACTAGTTACTTTCACTGAGCCGTAGTTTTTTGGTGAAGTAACTTGTCTCATAGCTTCCGCATCATCCAGACCGGGCCGTTAGACAGCAGTCTCAGCAGAGACTTCTCTGCAGACACCTTCTCCAACTCTGATTGGGGAAGCCTGAGGAGCTCCCAGCCCAGCTGAGAGACATGGATCCTCCAGCGTGTCCTGGGTCCTTCCCTGGGTCTCCTGCAGGTGGGAAGTACCTGGAACACCGACCGAGGGAGGCGTCCAGGGTCCATCCCAAAAACATCTCCGAGCAACCTAAGCTGACTCCTTTTAATGTGGAGGAGAAGCAGGTCAAATCCGAGCCTCTCCAAGACAGAACTCCTCACCCTATCTCTAAGGGAGAGCCCAGCCACCATGCGGGGAAAGCTCATTTCAGCTGCTTGTATCCACTTGGACTGGGGATCTCTTTCTTTCAGTCATGATCCAGATTTTATGACTATAGGTGAGGGCAGGAACGTGGTTCGCCCGATAAATCGAGAGCTTTGATTTTTGGTCAGCTCTCTCTTCACCTCGACAGACCGCTGGAGAGTTTATAACAGCAGCCACACAGATCTGTCTATCGATCTCCTGCTCCATTCTCCCCTTACTAGTGAACAGGACCCCAAGATACTTGAACTCCTCCCCTTAAGGTAGGAACTCTTCTCCAACCTGAATGGAAGGAGACACCTTTTTTTGCTCGAGAAGACTTTGTGGAGCTGATTCTCACTCCAGCCTCTTCGCACTCAGCTGCGAACCGCCCCAATGCATGCTACAGGTGTTGCCAGGAGGGAGAAGTGAAGTAACTAGTACCTTTAACCAGTCAGTTACCTGTTTTCAGTAACTTGCCAAACACTGCTTATCAGCCACAACAGCAGTGTTGATATCAGATATTGTTATCAGACCATATTTTTTTTATCAGTGCAACCCTAATTTTCATAATTTATCAACATAATCAATTAAAGTGTTTCAAACCCTGGAGGTTTATGGTTTCAGCTTGTTTATTCCGACAAAAACCGAATAGGCTTGATATTATCTGACATCGTAAAACATCAGGAATCAAAGAAGATGAAAATGCTGCCACAGATAGTGAGACTTGCCATCTTTATTTAAAAAACTTAAAATACAAAGGAGTTCTGGTTTATTAATCAGCTCAAGATTTATTGAGAGCTTCATACGCCTGGTGAGACTCTGTTAGCCTGCATTATTTCGTCTAACTAGTTTGCAATGACCACCTAAAACCTGACTGGTTAATCTTTGTATATGTGAACATGTTTTTGGTTTATAGGAGGTCATTTGTGCATTTATTTAACCAAAAACTGGTGTTTTGCAATGAGCCTGATGAAGCCCACAGGCAGACATGGGCAATGTGGAGTCAACAAGTCATCTCCATGTCATGTACTTGTTCTACCCAGCCACTGAAGCAGTTGAGTCCAATCTTCACCGTGAATTAACCTGTGCAGATTGGACTCACCTGGTTAATTGGCTGGGTAGATTAAATACATGACATGGAGATGACTTGTTGACTCCACATTGCCCATGTCTGCCCACAGGTGAAAACATGTCTGTCTGCAATTAAAGTGGTTTTCTAGTAATTCAAGCTTTTCTGATTTGAGAATGCGTGGAATCAGGTGTGGAACATGCTTTTGTTTTGTCAGAACAAGGTGGTACATTTTTTGATGACTGCAGAAGCTTTGTTTTGTTAGCATGGGTTAACTTTTATGGACGTAAAAATAGAATTCCCTGTTTGAGCCGAAGGATTGAAAGAAAAGTCGGGGGAAAAAAGATTTTAGAAGATATCAAAGAAACTTCTAGAGAATCGGTCCGATCCTTCGAGGCAGTTGTATTCAGTTAATAAATCTAAGTTAAGTTAAAAATATTTTGAATAGCAGAGAAGTATACCCCTTTACGGCTGTCTGTCTTTGATTTCAGTCTGAAAAACCCAAACGGAATGAAAAACACAATTAGAAGAATTTTATTGATACGGTTATTTTAGTTTTTGACGCTCAGACCTCAGCAGGAAACATAGTGATAAAGAGCTGATACTAGAGCTTCACTCAGGGACCTGGAAGATGGAAGTCCAGCTTGGATAACACAGGTTTTGAGAACCTGTCCATGATGAGCAAGCATGAAGCGACAGTGGAGAGGAAAAGCTCTGCATAGGGAAGAAACCTCTGGCAGAACCAGGCTTTATGTGGCGGTCTTCTGCTGGTTGAGATGGTCAGGGAACGCAGTAAGAGTCCGTGAGGAAAAACACTGATGAAGCTTTAGCTACGATGGTGGAGGAGGGGATGGAGGTGGGTTGAAACGGTGTCATCTGAATGGAAGTCAGACATAGAGCATCCACTGCCCGAACTTTGGGTAGCAGACTGAGTTTGGGATTTGGAAACCTTCTAAGATGAACTCTGGATGCTGATTGGGTTTTCGTGGAGGCGTGGTTCAAAGCTGATTAGCTTGGCGAGTAATCAGTTTAACTAAATGATCTTCCACCTACGCTCCATTCAATAAATCTCTCTAAGTTTAAAACATTACAGTTTATTATTGGTCTTTCAGGATATTCTTCACCTTTGCATTATTTACTGTTTTTCTTTTTTGGACTTTAAAGCAATCTCAGGTTGTCTTTTGGGTTATACATGTCTTCATTCTTCCATGTCATACTTGCTTGTAGGGGGAGTTTATAGCCCCATTTACATTACCCTTGAAAAACCGATCCATGCCGAGACGGGTCCGAGCTCGGATCAGTTAACCAGGCCGAGCTCGGTTCTGACGACCGTTTACACATCACGCTATCTCGGTTCCTCACCTCCTAGTGACGATCTGCGGTATTACTGCCAGTATTGAAGGAGGAAATCAAGCAGTTGGTGGCGGTGATGCACCAAAAGTTGTTTGCCAACCGCCATAAAACACAAGAAGAAGAAGAAGACGAAGAAGGAGGGAATCAAGCAAATCAAAATGGTGGCTACCGTCAAATTCAGAAAGTTATGCTTGATTATTGTTGCTGTACTCGGTGTTATTATTTAAAATGCCATTATTTAAAATGTTGCGTGGAGAAGATTTCGATTGCTGTTTATAGTTGAAGAAGAAGTTGTTCTTCTTCTTCTGTTTCTGGAGGGGCATTACCGCCAACTACTGGAATGGAGTGTAAATCGCAATGTGCAGCCAGACGGAGATGACGCGTTCTGCTCATGCGCTCTTGTTATCAGAGAACCGAACCCACCTCTGGAACTGGTCTGCAGTTATGTCGGTTTGGTTTTGTCTAGCTCGGTTCAGTTCAGTTTGCTTTCCATTTACACACGATAAGTTATCTCAGTTACTGAGCTCGGACCAGTCTCGGCACGGTTTTTCAAGGGTAGAGTAAATGGGGTATATGAAGTAGAGACTGACACGGGAGTGGATTTTCACCCCTTACCCGTCCCACTCCCCCAGAAAAAAATTGTGTCCCGTCCCGATCCCGGGCCAGAGTAGAAATCTAAATCCTGTCCCGTCCCACTCCTGGTGAAATTACTCCCACTCCCATCCCGCTCCCATTCAGAATGACTCCCGCTCCTGCACCACTCCCATTCTTGTTTTTGAGCACGGGTGAAAAACTCAGAGCGGAAGCACTGTTGGTTTTTGCGTTGTGTAGTTTTTTTGACTCGTATTATAGTGTAGGCTTCAAGGAAAAAAAAACTACCAAATGGCGGTGCCAGTACTGGATTTTTTTTCTTTCTATTTTATTTTATTTTTTTGGCATCGATCCTAGTTTTTTTTTTAATTACTATTGGTTTGCTCCCGCTCCCACCTGCTCCCGTTAATGTTTAATCCTGTACCGTCCCAATCACGTGATAGTTACTAATACTGACTCCCATCCCACGGGAATCCCGTGACCCGTTGGATTCCCAAAAAAATGTCAGTCTCTAATATTAAGCCTCATGAAAAAAAATCAGTACTGTCATTGAATCAAACAGAGCTCTGGTATTGGAAACATATCGGGACAGATATAAAAACTCAAGTATTGCAATTAAAATTTAAAAAGGTGTATCTATACTTTTAATCTAAGTATAATTATTAACCTTCTGTCAGTATCTTTAGCTGTTAAAATGACACATGCTGCTGTGGCTTTAATTGATTGTTGCGTTTGTGTTTTTTTGCAAACAGAAAAGGTCAGTAAATCCAGCTGTCAGCAGGTGGCAAAGATGGCACCACCCATCAGAAACAGGTATTATAAATAACTTTAACGAATAATCCATCTAGTAACAGATCAATCTGACATATGTACCTGACTCTGTGTATGTCTGTTGTCTTCTCTGCAGTCCTGTCTTGAAGAACAATATAAACCATGTCCCCTCCTCTCCACTTTTGACTCCCCAAGAAGCTCCTCATGGTAATTGGACTCTGCGTGTTTCTAAGGTTTAATTTCCACAACAGAGAAACATTTCTATCTGAGAATCTAGAAAGCAGCCTTGATCCACTGTAATGTTAACAATTAGGTTGTGGCTTTTATAAATGTTATTTTGATATGTTACCTTCATCCTGACATGAACAAAACCAATCCACTGCAACCCTTTAGTCTTCTGCTGATTTGAGATCGGGTTGTTGAAGTAATGGTTCTAGGAGGGAAACCCAAGCATCTCTCTCCCCAGAGATGCTCGCCTGCTCAATTTGTGGGTTTGCTCCCATTTAACAGGAGGAAACCAGAACCAGGCTGAAAGGCGTCACGCCTGCAAAGGCTCAGCTTGGTGTAGAAACTCACAACAGCACCGTCTTCATGTTTGCTTTTCTTTTGTCTGTCCTTCCTGATCGTTTCTGGGTTTATAATTGTCTGAAAGGTCTTGCCGTATCCCCTGGTTAATTATTGTCATTAGGGTTTTGCCAGATCAGCCCATTCATTTGTGTTGCTTTTCTCTTTTGTTTGTTTCCCTATGATACTTTGAGGCTTTCTCCCCCTTTCTTAGTGGAACCCTTTCAGTCCGTTTGCTGAGCTCTCTTTGTATTAATTAGTCTTCCTCCCTCAGTTTCCTTGCTTTCACTCTGTCACAGCTGTTTCACATTTCCTTTCATTAACTCACCTGGCTGCTACCTCTGGCTCAGTGTTTAATCTTCCTAGCTTTTCATTGTTCATTTCTACTCTTTGTTTTTATAATAAATTCCTCTGCTGATCCATGCGGTGTGGTCCTGCCCACATTTTTGGGTCCAACCAATAATCTGACCAGTAGTATGTTTACGAAATGTGGAGCCCTGAGCGAAGGCTGGTATGGAATCCTCTGAATAAGAAGAAAACGTACAAAACAAGAGGTCAATTATAAACATTTTAATAGAATCGACGTGCATTATTTGTTTTACCTTTATTTTTTCTTCTCCCTTTTTCTTTCTTCTTTTTGTCCTCCATTATTTTTTTCCCTCTATTTCTATTTATCTCCCTTTTTTTGTTTTCATTCCTCTTCTGTCCCTTTTACTCATTCCTCCATCCTTTTCCTTCTGTCCCCTTTTCTTGCTATCCTTCTCTCCGTGTTTTTTGTCTCTTTTTATCAGTTTTAATATTTTCTCCCATTATATTCCTGGAATGCAAATTCTGCAAATTTGTCAATTAAGAGGTCTACATTTACTTAAGCCAGGCATACACTGTACGTTTTTTTGTCCTTTTCATGCCGACTTTCCAGTCATGTGAGGGTTTTTCAATCGGGCCGACTTTCAGCCTGATCATGCGTTGTGCAGTCTATAGGGGGGTAACGAGGGGTGATCAGAAATATTAAACATGTTTGAAATTCAGTCGGCCATCGTGGGCAAATCGCTCAGTGGGCGTGCACAAACAAGGATTCTTCTTTCTCTCAGATGTAAACACAAAAGCATGGCAAGGTGCGACTGAAATGGAGTCCTTTCTGTAACATTGACAGCAGGGTTTCCGTGGGTCATTAAAAATCATTAAAAGTAATTAAATAATTATCTTTTAAATTAAGGCCTTAATTGGCATTAAAATTCATTAAATTTGATAATCGTGGCATTAAAATGCTTTGGAAAAGAAGCTTGAGGTGGAAAAAAGGCTAGAGAATGGGAAAATTCTTTATTTGAACCAAAGTGGCGGGAAAATGAGGAACTCGGGACATGGCTGCAGCCTGTCCACGGTGAAGGATTTTGCCGTGTATATATGTATATATATATATATATATATATATATATATATATATATATATATATATATATATATATATATATATATATATACACGGAGTTATGGGTACTTGTTGATGGCATTAAAACTTTTTCTAAGAGCATTAAAAGAGGATTAAAAAGCATTAAACAAGAGCTACTCATTCATGTAAAAACCCTGGAGAGACCGTAGTAGCCACGTTTGCCCAGCCATGTCTTTGTCCAAATATGTCGTCACCTTTATTTTTAGGGCTTTCAGCACAAACTTGCACGAATTGCCAAGGCAACGCATTTCACTCTATTGAGCTTCATACTCCTCTTCTACTCATTTGGCTTCTGGATAGACGAGTCCGAGTAGCACCATCTCACTGCGGGGCCGAGTCCGACGTGGTTTTTAGATGTGCAGGGTGAGCAGGTAGATCGCATCAGAGCGTCGGGCCGCACAGTGTGAGAACATCCATCATGAGCTGTGAACTCACACTGAATCACACACACCAAAATCGTGAGCTTTAGCTGCGTGCAACAATAGAAAAAATCACACAGTGTATGCCTGGCTTTACTCGAGACCCCCAAGAAAGAAAAAAGACTGATGTTTTACTCAAAATATTATCTGAAAAAGCAAAATTTAAAAAAATAAGACTGATTACCGATTCTCTGTAGCGACACAAGCTAAATTTGAAGCTTCCTTCATAATGACCCACAAGTTTCCTGGTGTCCATTGGGACAAGGAGAAACATATCAGTATATGGGAGAAAGCCTCTAATACTCGGTATTTGTTCATCTCCACATGTCATCCTTGTGCTTGCTGCCCATTGTGGTTTCCTAACTTTAGCTGCTGCTAGCAGTAAATAAGCTGGTCACTTTTGGTTGCTTTGTGCTGCTCTCAGCTTTCCTCCTTCTCTCTCCTCTTTCCAGCATTGCTTACATTCTTTTCCATTTTAATTTCTCTTCTTTTCTTGCCTCTTTTCTCTGTTTACTTTCATATGTTTGGCTGCTGTCTTCCTGAATTAGGGTTGCCAACCGTCCCTTGAAACACGGAATCGTTCCATATTTAGAAATAAAAGTACCTGTCCTGTCTTTAGTGGAAAAAGGACCCACTTTGTCCCGTGTTACTGTGAGTAAGAAATAGTAAAAAGCTAATGGAAAATGACGAATAAGGGCATGTTTACGGAGCCCCTAAAGGGACATGGAGAGAAAAAATAAACTTTTGCGAGATCCTGCAATACTTTTGCGAGATCTCGTAAAACTATTGCGGGATCTCTCAAAAGTATTGTGAGATCCTGCAAAAGTATTGTGAGATCCTGCAAAAGTATTGCGAGATCCTGCAAAAGTATTGCGAGATCCTGCAAAAGTATTGTGAGATCCTGCAAAAGTATTGCGAGATCCTGCAAAAGTATTGCGGGATCTCGCAAAAGTTCTTTTTTCCCCTCCATGTCCCTTTAGGGGCTCCGTACATGTTAGATACAAAACTTACGGTAAACTTGTTCCTGTCCCTGTCCTGCGTTGTGACCAATGAGCTGACAACATATATGTAACGATCCAGAATACCCTCATCCCATTGGTCGAGCCAAGTGTTGCTCAGAGAGCAGTATGGGGGATGAACGGAGTAATTTAAATCCTGGCGCTGCTTTTGGGGGCGGACACCTCCTCATTTCTGCAAGAGCTCAAAGGACATACAGGTGGAAAAAAGTAGGCCATTACCACATAATGTGGCATTGAGCAAAAGTGTTGTTTTCTTTTTTTAAACTGTAGCCTACATTCATTGCTCACCGAAAAAAATAATGCAATCGTTTCGGGCATTTACTTAATCATATTTAGTTACTTTATCCCAATTGTTTTATGTCTTACCGTGCTAACATGAACAATTGTGTTAAAGTAACTGAATAGGAAGAAGTAAATGTCAAAAATGGTTGCATTATTTTTTTCAGTGCATTTAAGGCACAAATATGTTTACAAGTTTGCACAAGTTTGCTTTTGCACCAAAAGTGTGCACTATTTATGTATTGTTTTATATTCACTTTTACAGTTTAAAATTAAATAGAACATGTCATGGTTTTACTAAAGTTCAGACCCAAATGGGAAAAGGTTGAACAGGTTTTTTTGAAGAGATAATGCAGAGAGAAGAGTTGCTCTGAACACTGCTCAACCCGAACTGAAAAGTGAGGGGAAGACACAGCGATTAGTTCAGGCTCAGTGGGAAACTTGAATCGTGAAGTTGGAATAGAGGACCTGGTTGCTGACTCACGTTTCCAGAGAAGTTGTTGAATCTTTGACTCCAGTCTATATGCTGTTGTTCCAGTGTTTGTCTGATTCGGTGGAGGGCGGAACAGGGTTTACCCAGAATGTGGTTGTTTGTAGGAGAACGGAGAAACTGACTGCCACTCAGATTTCCTGCGGTACTTGAACGGGTCGTAGTGGAGATGAATCCCTTTCTCAGTGTGAAGCTCAAACGATCTCTGGGGAAAGTGGATCCAAACCTCCAGTTTGAATCCCCAGCTCAGCTCGAAGCTCTGTTGATCCTTCCAGGGAGAGAAGGTCAGAAAAATCTAGTTTGCAGGATGACTTCCTGCCGAGAGGCAAAGACAAAAACAATGTTAAAACTCAGGTTGACAAGAACTCAGTTTGACTCAGCAAAACTCAGCTTGGCTAGAGTACCCATAACTGGCAAACACTCTGGCATCGAGGTAGTGTCAGTCAGCAGCTTAAGAACACTCCGTTAACGAGGAAACCATCAGCAGGTGTGTGAGGAGGCGGACCAGAACCAGGTGCCTCCTGGTGGAGGAAGGGAGACAAACACAGAAACACAAACACACAGACAGAAGTCCTGACAGAACAGATGTTTGTTTAAGATACTTATTTAATTCAACAAAGTTTATTATTTTGTAGTAAAGTGAATTGCTGGATAATAATTTGCCCTTCCATGTGTTCATGTCACTGACAAATATGTATCTAATTCAATGCATATTTGAGTAAAATAGTTAAAATTAAAAAAAAAATTCACACACAAAGGGGGACAAAAAAAAATCACCACACCGGGAGGGGTCAGGCAATCGGGTCAGCTGGCACGCATAGGAAGTGTCCCTTTTTTTTTTTCAGTTGGCGACCCTATCCTGAATCCTTTCCTCACAGGCACAGTAAGCTCAACTGATCAATAGTAGTGGAGACAAGTATTTTGATGGAATCTTACATCAGGATTTTAATCAAAAACATAGCTAATGTGCTTAAATAAGTAATGGCTGTATTAAACATACATGTATGAGGAGTTTTATGGGGCTCTGAGGAACTTGTGGCCCTAGGCCACTGCCAGTTTTTACCTCATGATAACTCCGCCCCTGAACCTGATGTCACATCTGTGATCGGAGGCCAGTTTGATTGAATAACATCCTTACTGAAGCTTGTTAGATCTTTACTGACTCATAAAGAAATCCTACCAGTGCAGCATATGCAAGCATTTATAAGCGGCCCTCATGAGCTCAAAGGACATACAGGTGGAAAAATGATATTCACAGGGTAGATCACTGATAAAGCTGTAATGTTTTTATTTTAAATACAGCCCTCACATGCAAACACGCATTAGGGATACAGATCACAGAACTGAAGCCCTCAGTTCCTCCTGCTTTGATTTAGTGTGCGTCAATCCTCTCTCATAGTGTTATCGGGTTGTTTACTTTTTAATTCGACATGGAGTCACTGTGTCAACGTCACCACCTGTTTCACCTGCCACCTACTCACTTAAGTTGAGTTTTACAAATTGTTCCAGATAGTCGGCCTGAGAAGAGCTAAACTATTGATGGATGGGAATCTAATGTGAAATCAGCCTGACTGAGGAACCATGGGAGCTGTAAAGACGTTTGTTGAAACGGCAAAACAAAAGAAGAGCAGTGGAGTCTGTAGGATAGGAATAAACAGCAGCTGGCAAAGTCTTAGACGGAGGACCTGAGAGATGCTTTATCCCTCAGGGATCGTCCATTGCAGTGGTTCTCATACCTGCTCCTCAGATACCGCTGCCCTGCATGGTTTAGATTCCTCTCTGCTGCAGAACACCTGATTCAAACCATTGTTTGACACCTTCAGCAGCTATCAACGGCTGCAGACGGCTGTTAAATATTCTTTTTTATAAATCAGGTAAGTGGCAGGGAGGAGAATAAGAAAAACCCGGTCAATTTATCTTGACTATATTTAATCTTTACAGAAAGCACCTTGTTGGACCTAAATCCCATCTCCAGTTTGGCTCTTTCTTACTCCTTGAAAAGAAACACATAGTTTAATGAGCGACGATTTATGAAGAGATACCACACAGGAGAGTCTTATAGATTGTTTTAGCTTAGATTCTGGAAGAACAACCTTTTTAGTTTTCATTATGATTAGGAATGAACATATATCGTCTCGTTTATTGCTACTGTGATAAATTTCTAGTCATTTAACTATTTTGATTTATGGTCTAAAGCAGGGGTCTTCAATGTTTTCCAAGGGCCAAGGACCACGAAACTGATGGCGAGATGGAGCAAGGACCCTAATTATATATAGTGTCATGATTTGGATAACATTTGTTGACCCAAAAGCAGAGGCAGGGAGGCAGAGGTGAATTTCTTGTGGATTTAATGATGAGATAACTAAGAACAGAGGCAGGTAATCCAAAAATCAACCAAAATATGAAAACAAAGTCAAAAAACAAATAGGAAACCAGGAATCCAAAAAGAAAACAAAGCCCAAACTAACGTGAAACCAGGAGTCCAAAAATCTAAACAAGAAAACGGGTCAAGACAAACCAGAAACCATGGACACATCAGGGGGATCACAATCACAAGGAGGAAGGCTCAGAGAGACGGAGTTGGAGGAAGTTTGACGAGGACCCAGCAAAGAAGAACTGAACAAAGAGGGTATCTAAGGGAGACAGAGACAGAGGAGTAACGAGCAGATTGGGAGCAGGTGTGCACAGAACAGAAATGGAGCTAGAAAAAAAGGAGAACACAAGAGGCCAGCAGAGGGCAACATATAAAAACAAATGAAAACTGAAAACAACTAGAAAACAAAACAAAATAAGAATTAAACCACCAAGACTATAAAACATGGAGCAAAGTAAAACTGAAAACTCAAAAGAAAAACAAAACAGAGACAAGACTGAAACATTAAATAAGAATTAACCAGAGAACCCTGCAAAATAAAAATAAAACCACTAAAAAACTAGAAAACAAGGAGCAAAGCAAAACTGAACATCCACAAGAAAAACATAACAGAACCAGAACTCTAGAATATAGTATGAAATTGTGTTATATCAAACTGGTGATACAGTCACTCTATTACAGATGGAGTCATGTAATGAAAGTAATTCCTCCCTGGGATTATTAAAGTATTTCTGATTCTGGTTCCTGGTTGATGGGACAGGTGTTGTGAATGAAACGGTGCCCAGCTTGAAAGAGCTCCTGTGTGCCGCTAAATGTGTGCATTGATGACTAAAAGACATCTTCTGCCTCCATTTATCTGTTTACTACAGTGTGTTGAATTCATGTTAATATCCATTTAAAGACATTTCATTTATTGGAAAAAATTGCAGGGGGGAATATAAAAAAAGGTCTAATCAACCAAACTTTCACAACCCCCATGCAGCACCTCTGTGGCCCCCTTAGGGGTCGCGGAACGCCTGTCTAAGACCTCTGGTCTAAACAATAAATTAGAATTAGTGAGTATTAAAAGAAGTTTAAAAATGGTTGTGAGGTTCATCTTTTTTCTTTTTTTCATTTAAGCATTAACAAATTCTAAGAGCAGGATGCCTATACAGCAGGCAGAGCAGACTTGGCTATAAAAAATCGATAAAAAAAAAAAAAATACTTTGTACATCATTGGAGTTCAGGAACACAGAAAACAGATTAAGTAAATTAGTGATCCTCCTTTCCTTTAAATGTAGTTCCTATTATTTTCTGTATATATTTAAATCCTCTGTCATGGTTTAAGATATTACTGTGCAGGCTGGTAATGAAGTTGAGTTTTGTGTTGTAGCCGTGCTGGATGTTTTTCTTTCTCCTTGTTTTAATTCATTCTTAAGTATTAATCTGATCTAGTCAAATGTGGCACATTGTTTTATTTCTGTGGGGCCGGAGACAGAAGTGAATAAAATCAGCACAGATTGGGATCTGCTCACCCCATGCAAAGCAGGAGCCTCGCATTATGCACAGCAGTCACTGTGAAATTTTAAAAAAATCGGATCAGAGAATAAAAAGTCAGACACAACCGGTGTGACCTGGGCTTAAGAGTAGGGATACTTTATTAAGATATTTAAGTAAAAGCAAAAAGTGGAGTATAGTAAAATTTCTCCTACACATAGATTTTTTTCTAAAAGTTACTGAGTTAGGGGAACTCAGCTTTCATATATTTGCATATGATACTATCCTGTGGATGGATGGATGGATGGATGGATGGATGGATGGATGGATGGATGGATGGATGGATGAATTATGGATGGATGGATGGATGGATGGATGAATTATGGATGGATGGGTGGATGGATGGATGGATGGATGAATGGATGAATTATGGATGGATGGATGGATGGATGGATGGATGGATGGATGGATGAATTATGGATGGATGGATGGATGAATGGGTGGATGGATGGATGGATGGATGGATGGATGGATGGGTGGATGGATGGATGGATGGATGAATGGGTGGATGGATGGGTGGATGGATGGATGGATGGATGGATGGATGGATGGATGGGTGGATGGATGGATGGATGGATGGATGAATGGATGAATTATGGATGGATGGATGGATGGATGGATGGATTTGTATTTAAAGAGTAAACAGCAGTTTTGTGTCCTGTCTGCTCTAATGTGTCTAAAGCCTGCTGAGGTTTAGTCTCCGCCCTGTGAACCCTGCAGACATGCAGATATTTTCTCACCTTCCACATGTGTGAAATATGAAGTGAGGACTGATGCAGGTTCAGACAGAGGACTTTGTTAATTATCCTCCATCAGATTCCAGGCTGCGGTCACTGCAAGCTGCTTCATTTGAGGTTCAGCAGGAAAAAACACTTTAAGTCCTGAACTGAAATATGTTGATAAATACCTTATAGTGAATTTGTTTATTTAGTTTGCCTCTAGTGGTTATTATTGTCTCTCTTATTGGTAATGTTATTAGTTTTTAATGACCGCCTTCTGCTGAGCTGCTTTTCTATTGTATTATGGATTTACGATCCCGCCACTTTGCCTGGTGGGTTTATAATAAAGATGTTAGGAAAGTTAAATTACCTCGTCAAAGAGAGGTTTAACAATGATAACTTCCAAATGGATTCATCATTAATCAACTTATTTCATGTGGCTATGAGCAGGATCATAAGAAAACAATCTCATTTTTTTTCTCCACAGAAACTAAAATCAACATGTTTAGGGATCAAACCACGGGTTCTTCGTACTTCTTCAGGTAACACTCAAGTATTCTTTCCTTTTACATTAAAAAGATTAAGATTCACTAAGAAAATCCCAAAACAAACAAAATGTATATCAGTATTATTAATACACTTTGTTGAGCTAATTATTTGTTCTGTTTTTAAGTTCTCCCTTATGCATTTCCCAGATTTAACTGTTTTTTACCAGCATGTGTGTTTAGTAATTCTTATTTAGTTGAATATTTCTGGAAATGTATTAGTTCACCATTGACTGTTCATCAAATTTTTCTATGTATTGTTTATTTTATGTGTTATGCAGTTTAAAGATAAATAGTAGAATATTACTAACCCTTTAATTGACTATGAGAGCATAAAGATTAATGTAATGTAAAAGCTGCATGGAACTTAAGGTCATTAAGGCAAGACCTAAACTGTTTTATCGAGGATTATTGGTTAAAGCTGTGTTAAAAAATTATTTTTTAGTTTTTATATTGATATTAAGACCGATAACCACAAATGTATTTTTAATTTGAATTTAAATTGCAATGAGGTAGATGGTTTGGTCCTTTCAGCCTCCATTAACTAAAATTATTTTATGACTTTTCCATTGAATGTTAATATAATACTAGTATTTATATGTTACATAAAAGCTAAAATAAAAATTTTATTAACAGATATCCAATTTGTGTCATGCAGCGGTGTTTGTTTGGAGGACCCAAATGCAGAGACCAGTAGGCAGAGGTGAATTAAAGTGGGTTTATTTAAGTTCACAGATCCAAGGGCAGGAATCAGAGTCCAACAGAAAACTACTAACGCACCTGAACCAAGGAGACATCAGGGGTAACCAAAACTAGAAGCCAGGGAGAGACGAGGAGCACAGACTGAAGTTAGACGGGATGTTAGACGAGGATCCAGCAAACAGGAACTGAAGAGGGAGGGCTTTTAAAGGGGACAGAGACAACGAGAGAGCTGACGAGGGAAGTGAAAACAGGTGCAGGCAGGACAGAAAAACAGAGCAAGGGAGGACACAAGAGGGCAGCAGAGGACAACAAATGGATAACCAAGAAAAACAGGAACAAACAGACCAAGACTTTGACAATTTGAGAATGGATTGGATTTAAAACACTTGATTCTAAATCTTTAGAATCGGATTTCAATTGATTTTTTTTAAACACCTTGCCCTAGTTGTAGTGTAAAGGGTTCAAAGTACAAGATAAGATGCATCCAACAATTTTCAGATGTTTTGAAAAACTTTAAAAGCCATTTTTTACCTTTCACATTCGGCTTTTACACCATTTTGTTTCAGCATATTAAATGGCATACACGTAAAAAATAAACTGAAGTTTTCTCAAAATGTGGAAAAGCTCAAGGTGTGAAAAACACTTTTTCATTGTGCTTAAAAGCAGTAGACATTTAACTTTACAGTATAAGACAAGGAGGTGGTTAAAAAGAAAAAGGGTTTGCATTCCTTTTCTGCACCACACCATGCTGGCTATCTGGAGAGCGTAGATGCAGAGCCTCCAATGAATAGAATTAATTATTGTTTACATATATTTATTTTAACTTGAATTTAAAATCTAAATGTTCTGAAATAAATTCCTGATTTTCACATAAAAAAATCTGTTTTAAAAACGCAAATAAATTTTTATAAAAAGGTATTTGTGTGCCAAATATATTCAAATAAAATGTGTTAGGCTCTTATTTGTTAGTTGGTGTACAGTCTATATGCACAAATATGTTTCAATAAATACAAGTCTGATTTTCATGATCAGAGGTTTGTGTTTTTTCCAACCTCAGAACCAAACATGTCTTCCCTGCACATAAATCACACTGCAGTAACAGACTGTTAATTAAATCATCTGTCATCTTCACTTATGAAATGAGATGTGTGGATAGCACAGTGCTATCGCTGATTAATAAACATGTTACACAACACTTTTATCCATAAGATGCTTAATATTACATCGGTGTCACCCTCTATTTGTTTTTTCAGGCATGATAATTATTGAATCCTATAAGTTTTACCTTTTGAAAGTATAGAAATATGTTGTAATGGTTCATCAAGATAACAACATTACATATATGGAAGCCCTGGAAGGCGAGTGAGAAAAATTAATGGATAAAAAAAGTTCAAAGTTTGTTTGTTTTTTTCTGCCCTAAAGAGCAAAGAAAAACTACATAAGATCTATGTTTCTAATCTGTTTTTTTTTTTTTTTTTTTTGTAAGCCTGACAGGCATGAAATGTATGTATTCATTTATTGCATTTTGTTAGTGAAGGAGAAAAGACCTAAAAATCTATACCAAGATTTTTTTGTACCACTCTGGTATTTGAGATTAAAAACTGTCATTTAGCTGGTATAGCATAAATAGATTAGACACTAATAAGTACATATAATAATCAATAAAGCTTTCATATTTAAATTGTTGCCATACTATTTCTTAAAAATGTGTCATTTTTATGACAAGCAAGTTTTAAGGTTATTCGGGAAATACAGTCTTGATCCTAAGAAAGAGCAGTCATGGTGATTTACATATTTATATATATTTATAATATCGCTGTAATTTATTCTATATTGCTCATGAATATACGAGGTGGATATGGTAACCACATACTATGGGCTACAAATAAATTGTTTGTACCTTCATCGCAGCTTATTTTAGTTTGCAAAAATCAAATTTAGAAATTGGGATATTTCTAAATTTGATTTGTGAATGTGCATGCTTTTACTTTAGTACCTTTAGTGGTATTTCGAAAACTATCACTACTCACTTGCCTTTCAGGGCAGAAAATACTTAAAAATTACAACTTTTCTTATCCAGATTTGTTTTTTTCATTTGCCTTTCGGGGCTTCCATACATTTACATGTGACCAAGCGTGCATAATTCATTGGTCAACTTTAGCAATGGGGATTCCTTACATTCTTAAGCTCACTACAAATATCATCTGCATAAAATCATTAGCATTAGCATAGGATTGAATGATTTTGGACACAAAACTAACTAAACACTTCTATTAGTTTATTAGTTATTGAGAAACTAATTGTGACAAAATAGTATTGTGCCAATGTATGTTTTTAAGGGAAATATACATTGTTATTACTATTAATTAATAATAATAATTAATATTAATTGATGTTATTATAATTATTGTTACATCATGATTTCTTGGTACAAAAGGTTTGATTGAAGCCATAACATTTATAACGTAACGCTGTCGCCATGGCTACCATCTTTCTCAGACATGTACTCACCCTCTCCTTTAAGGTGTCACGTTTGCGGCTTTGAAACAGAAGGCCACGCCCTATTTAATAGTCACATGACGGAACATCGCCAATGGGAACACAGCTCTTTCTCGCTACACTGCTGCAGGTGCGAGCACTCGACCAATCAGGAGGCAGAGATGATGGCCCACGTTGACTCGCACATACAGGGCGACACGGGAGAAATTAGGTGGGTTTAAGTTCAGCAGTGAGTTTCTACTGATAATTATTGTGGCATCTTTTGAACAACTGTTTTCTTTATAACGTTTTATCTTCACCTCAGGACATGAAAAATGTTTAGGCAGCTCTGTATTAGCTAAATAGATAGTTATTATGATGGTTTTTATAGCATTTAGCATCCTGAAGGACTTTATAGGTTTTAATATTGCTTAAATATGCTAATTATTTATGCATATAAGTGCATAGAAAATTCAAATTAAAGATCTGCCCCTAAGGGAACACAAACATCCTCTGCATATGTGTGCTATTTCATAAAATAAAATAAACTGATTGGGTAGAACCAATCAGTTAACTATAGATGTGATGTAGGAATTCCAAGCCACACTTTCTGTTTATGTAATTTGTATTTTTGTATTTTCGAGTCCGTGAAACATTTCAAGCTGGTGAAGAAACTCTCCAGTGAACATTTTCTGCTAGTTTTGCCAAAAAATCTCCAGATATAAGTTGTGCTCTCTGTTCTTAATTTTTATTGCAAAATTGTGCTGTAGCTGTGGAGAGCTTGTCACTACCTGATCCGCATGGAATGACGAACCGTACCATCGGAAAATTACTTATTTATATCCTTAACTCACTAAAGAATGCTGATACATATATGTTTTTAAAAAGTTATGACTTTTCTGAGACAATTTGATGCTTTTTACATTTTCTCCATTAAACTACTTCTCTGACATCATCATCGGAGATGCTTGGAGCAGTCCGGCAAAATATGATTCAACAATGTTTATCTGCATTTTAATTGTTTTTCTTTAGATAGCACACTATACACCACAAGGTTAACATGAAAGGAAAACATAAAACTCAAAAAGACTAGATTTATGTTTGAATCCAAAGCCCAAAAAGTTAGCTTGCAGGAGTAGCATAGGATCCCATTTCCAATGCAGATCAGTCACAGACGACTCATTAAAAAAGGATTTTAAGGCATTTATTCTCTCAGGAAATGCATTATTGACCTTTAACACATTATAGTTTAGTATGCTTACTATTATTAGGGAGGAAAAAAATTTTTGTGATGCAACGGATCGTGCTTCCAGTACGGATCGGGTAATGACACAGCCTGTTGTTCTTCTAGCAGAAATTCACTGCTGCATTATGGGTAAATCTGGCGCTGAGAGTCACGCATTGTAAAGTCCCGTCTCCTGAGTCAAATGCGGTTTACCAGACTCTACCTGGCTGGGCAGCGTACTACCTTTCAGGTAGTTCAATTTCAAAGCTTTCTAGTTGCAGTCATGAGTAATAAAATAATGTTATATTTATAATTGAATACAGAATAAAGAAAAGTTTGTTCCAACTAATTCAAAAAGGCTCAGTACTAATAAGTGAATAACTGATAACTAAGTTAAAAGTATACGTAGGAATCTTACTGTTCTTAAGCCCAATTTACAGAATAGAACAGTAAATAAACATGTCATGATTTTATCAAGAGCTCGGACCCACATGCAGCAAAACCAATACAGAGAGACCAGGGAAAAAGCTTAACAGTTTTATTGAGAAGTTTAGTGGAGGTTCCAGTGTTGCCCTGAACACTGCTCAACCGGAACTGAAAGGTGAGGGGAAGACACTGTGGTTAGTTCAGGTTCAGTGGGAGAATTGATTCTCGAACTTGAAGAGGAGGAAAGGTAGGCAGACTCACGTTTCCAGAGATTAGGTTGACTCTTAGACTCCAGTTGGTGAGGAATGTGTTCCGGTGTTTGTCTCATACGGTGGAGGGCGGACAGGGTTACCCAGAATGCGGTTGCTTGTAGATGAATGTAGAAGACTGACTGCCACTCGGTTTTCCTGCGGTACTTGAACGGACTGTTGTGCAGATGAATCCCTTGCTCAGTGAGAAGCTCAAACGTTTCCTCGGGAAAAGGGGATCCAAACCTCTGATTTGTTTCCTCAGCTCAGTTTGAAGCTCAGTTGATCCTTCCGTGGAGAGAAGGTCCGAAAAATTCAGTTTGCAGGATGTTTCCCTGCTGAGAGGCAAAGACAAAAAAAACAATGTTAAGACTCAGGTTGACAAAATCTCAGTTTGAATCAGCAAAACTCAGCTTGGTTAGAGTACCCAAAACTGGCAAACACTCTGGCGTCGAGGTAGTGGCAGTCAGCAGCTTAAGAGCACTCCGTTAAAGAGGTAACCCCTTGCAAGTGTGTGAGGAGGAGAATCAGAACCAGGCGCCACCTGGTGGAGGAAGGAAGACAACCACACAGAAACACAGACTGGAGTCCTAACAAAACAATGTTAATACCCATGTTACCCTAGCAGAAATATTAAATTAAATGCACTTGATTATATTTTCCTATTCAATTCAACAGTTTGAGATAATAAACTTAATTGTTTAGGTTGTTAGTTTCCTTATATCATTTCACTTTAACTTACCTATTGAGTTTGACAGTGTAAAGAAAAATACATTAGGGCTACAACTAACGATTATTTTAAAAATCGATGAATCGGACGATTATTTTTTCGATTAATCGATGAATCGGACAAAAAATATTTTTTATATTAACCTCTTTATTCCAAAATAAAAATTTTAGACAGAACAAACAAGCACACAAGTACAGGTTGCTCATTAACTGTACTGGTGCAATATGAAAAATAAATGTTTGTGTTAAAACTACGCAAACTTACATGAGAAATGTAGCTGTACATCCACAAAATATAGGCTACTTTGTTTCATAAAGCGCAAAAAAAGACATTTTTGTTTTTAAAAGCCCCTAAGGGGTTCAAACAATAGGCCCCCCCATTTCAACAAATGAGGGTTTTTTTTAGACTAGAAGAGTTCTGCCTTTCAAGACAGGAAAGTATAGCAGTTAAAGTTGCTACTTGAGAAAATACTGAACCATAGAGATAAAAATAGCCCTGTGATTCAAATTATAAATTGTATTTGGAATAAAAATGAGAGAACTAGGGGTGTTAAAAAACACATCCTCCAAAGACTCCAATTTACATGGGAATGTGGCATATAATTAATTGACATATTACTGATCTTGCTGGATTTTATTCTGCTTTACTTCCATAAATTGCAGGATCATCTTTACTTTATCTTTGCCAGAAGATTTAAACTTTAAAAGCCTTGCCCTCATAATTTGCAAGTTAATTTATTTATAAAGTAAATGTAAACGCTGCTTAAGCTAATTCAAATGAAATTAAAAGTAAAATAAGTAGCCAACCTTATCACTGTCTGTAACCTACTAACAAGGTAAGGAAAGCATCAGATGAGCTACCTGAGAAACTAATGTTACGTTTCCCCACTTTAAAACCAAACAAACATGGTGGTTCCGTGCCATGTTAATTTCTTTTGACAAAAGTTGCATGTTATCACTTTTTTCACTTTACAAAGCGCAGGCTATTTTAATTATTGTGATCAATTTGCGCCGTCAATCCCGGTGCATGCGCGCTTCATTTGCAGTCTGGACGCTGAGGCTCTGACTGCAGCGCTGAGAGGGACTCCTGTGGGAGCGGGAGAACGGGGTTGGGGTGGGGGAGGCGCCCCACGGCAGAGTAGGAACGATGCATGCTTTCACGTAAGAGTCTCCAAAAGCCGGCAGTGACACCGAAAAAAGTCGCCAGATTTGTCGCTAGTCGCTTTTTTGAAAAATAGTCGCTAGAGGGGTCTGAAAAGTCGCTGAGTTGGCAACACTGCACCTGCGGCGCTGGCTCGCTCTGCCGTATTTTTTTTTCTTCCTCTTTCAGTCAAGAGGCAGTGATGACGGCGCGGCGGATGACGCATTAATCGCGCGACACAACTAATCGATGATGAAATTCGTTGCCAACGCTTTTAAAAGTTGATTTTTATCGATTTTATCGATTCGTTGTTGCAGCCCTAAAATTTAACACTTAATTTACCAATACTCTCAGTGTCTCAGTCCTCAGTATTCCCAGTATGTTATAGGATTAAAGTAAACACAGAGGAATTATATGTTCTAATTAGGTCACTTTTTATATTTAATCAAGATTTAATCAGTGTAAAAAAGGAGCTGAATATTAAAACACACTTTTTAGATCTTTATTTTTAAGAAAAAAACTGAATTTATTTGTCATTCATTGGTTTGTTACATAAATTCTTAATAAAATAAAACATTAAAGAACACAAGGAAATAATAAAGCTCTAGGTGTTTTTGCAGGGCTCTGTATGTTCTGTTTCATGTTGTGTTCCTCATCATGTGACGCCTGTTTGTGTCGTTAACATGACTGACTTCCAGACGCCCGGTCACGCTTCCCCCCGCCTCCAGCAGAGCTCTGCCCATCTCCCTGGCAACCCAGCCGGAGCAAAGCACCTCCGAGCACCGCTGCCGCATCTGCCAGAGGTCGTTTCCCGAGCAACAGGAGCTCCTGGTCCACTTCCAGGGTCATCGCCAAGGCAACCAGTACCGCTGCGACCGCTGCGGCCACCTGACGCGGACGGCCAACAAGCTGGTGGAACACGTGCGCGTGCACACGGGGGAGCGTCCGTTCACCTGCGGCCTCTGCCCTTACAGCGCCAAGCGGAGGGACAGTCTGCGGCTGCACTGCAAGGTGAAGCACGGCTCGCACGGCGCCGCCGACGTGCCCGGCGACGTGCACACGCACCGGACGTACGCCCAGCACGGGGACGGCCAGCGCTCGAACAAACACGTCCAGCGGCTTCACACGCCGGCCAGCTCTCACACTGCCTCCTCTCATCATCATCCTCCCCCTGCTGTGCTGCTGCCTCTGCTCCCTGAGCGCGCCGGCTGGAGAGATTTATCTCCTCTCCTCCCCATCACAACTCTCATCTCCCTGAAACCTCGCTCCCCTTCATCCTCCTCCTCCTCTACTCTGCCTTCTTCCAACAAACACTCCTTCCTGGGTTACCTCGGCCTTGCATCCTTGTAAATACTATTTTCTCTTTACCTCCTTCCTCCTCTTCTATCCGTCCTCTGGACTATAAAGTGATGGATGTAAAGCTCTATAATGTATCCAAGGTACTGTCACTCAGCACTACGTATGAGAATGTCAAACAGCTCCTGCTATGCTCAGAGCTCTCACATAGGAAACCTTTTCTATTTATTCGACTTTTGCATCATGCTTGTGATTTTTGCTGCATTCCTGCCTGCTTTATTCCTTCATATAATCACTTTATTCTTAACTAGGTAACCGTGGGACATATTTATTGCCTGTCTCTCCGTCCTCTGGAAATCCTAAACTTAAATAATCCTAAATTTAAAATGTTTTTTTGTGTCAGTAAACTACATTAAAGGGAGGAGGGGGGGTTCTTTTTCTGCATGAAGAGAGGCACTGAAAATTCAGGAGAGGGCAGATACTTTAAATTCAACAGGAGGAAAGAAACTTCAGTAGTCAAATATCCTCATAATGAAATGAATATGATTGTTAATATGATTGTTAATTAATGAGAGCCTTAATAAACCTGCGCATAGGTATAAACCTGTACCTATAAATATAGGTCAAGCAGTGGGTCTTTAAAGTCGTAGGTTAAACTTCCGAATTCTGAATACTCCCGAGTGGTGCACGACTTTACACGAGTGAATAAAGTGAATGTGATTGGTCGTTTAACAAGAGGGCGGGATTGTTGTGGCGGAAGGTTCCAAAGCAAGATTGGTTGTGGCCCGTTTGTCGGAAGCATCTTGCTAACCAGTTAGCAACTTAGTGCTAGTAGGTTTCCAAAGGGAAATTAAATTGGTAACAAAGGCTATGTTCACAGCGCAGCCTGAAGTGACCCAAATCTGATTTTTTTTTGCCCATGTGCGACCTGGATCTGATCTTTTAATGGCAGTCTGAACAACACAGATCCGATTTTCAATGCGACCCAGGCCGCTTGGCTATGTGGTCCTAAACCTGATATGAATCTGATCGTTTTAAATGCGACCAGGTCACATTCATCCGTCCTGAATGTCATTATTACCCGACAGTGATCACTCTTCTGCTTCTTGCTACGCAGAGGTGGCAAGAACAACAACAACAATGGTGGACGATGATGCAGAGAGTCGTATTTATGTTTAACCATCTTTGAAAGATTGAGTTTTTAATGTTGGGAAAGATCGCTAGATGCGCTCCAGCTCTACCATCCATGCTTACTTCTGTAAACACAGAGCATGCTGGCTTGTGATGTCACTGCGTCCTCTACTGCGCATGCGGGACACTTAGATTGTATGAATGCAGTTCACACAGGAGATTACATACAAATCGCATATATTTGGAAATGTGGACGGCAACGCAAAAAAAAATCAGATTTCACAAAAAAATCGGAATTTAGCATCAAGGCCTGCAGTGTGAACGTAGCCTAAGAAACGACACTGTCAAGGAACGCTATGGAAAGCAGAGACATGCAAGAGGAGGAGATTTTTGTGTCTGAGTTCGTGGATGAGTCTCCTCCATCATCCATTCTTTATTTAGAGGAGGAAAGCGGGGATGAAGATGTTGTGTTAGAGGACGCCAGGGCGGCAGAAGCTTGGTTTGGTGTAGAAGGCTTCCAGCCGTACATTTTTGAGCCCTTGCCTCGCAACGCTGCCAGTTCTGTTAGCTCTACGCCTGCTGAAGACACAGACGTCCATCCCCATGAACACTGGGATGGAACTCAATCAAGTAAATGATTCTTATTTCAACCGTTGCATATATTAGCTGCGACATATGAATCAAGATGCAATGACCGAAAAAATTTGATTGACAGATGATCAAATGCTTGGCTGAATTTAGGTGTTCAAGCTGACGTATAATTAACGGTCCTGCATAAAATAACGAAAAAACTTCACATTTTTATAGAAATTTTCTAAATTTTGGGACAATATCGTCTGATAAAGAGTAAATTTATATACATGTTTAAGCCAGAATGATTTGACATTTAAACATAACTTTCCTACGACTTTAAAAAGAAAGCACACCCTCACTTTAAGCTACTGTCTCATAGCACGACATTATGGAATGTCTGATGTTTTCAAAGGTTTGCAAATAATAGAAATTAAATCTTTGGTGGGAAAAACTCATCATTTTTAAACCAACATAAAGCCAAAGAAAAAAAAACTAAACAAAAGAGAAAAGCAAAGAGGAGCTCATGATTCAGTAGCTTGTAGAACATATTTAGCTGACGTTCTTCTTTGTCCAACCATAGCTTTCTCTGGACCCTTGTTTTGTTTCTTTTTGGTAAACCCTGTGGTATATTTGCCACAGTCTGGACTCATTATCTTGTTGATGACTCAGTCAGGGTCATCAGCAGGGGGCTGCCAGCAGATGGCCTCCTATTTGGGCCTAGATTCTGTGGTACACTGAGGAGGTCACGTTGAACTCAAGTTGACTTCAAGTTACTATAGCCCCATTTTACTCTACCCTCTGAACACCGATCCGTGCCGACCTGGGATCAGTTAACCGTAGCGTTTACACATCACGCTAGCACTGTTTCCCACCTCCTAGTGACGATTTACGGTACTACTGCTCTCTAGAGGTAAACAAATCAACATGGCGGCACCCGTAACATTCAGGGAGTTATTTTTTGTTATCATTGTGATATTTTGTTGTTTGCGGAGAGTCAGGCAAAGAAGGCAGCCTTTGGTGAATTTTCTTGACAGAGTCGGCTTTTGGGAAGTGGATACGACAAACGATAGTCTAATTAGAGCTTACAGACACAGGAAACAATGACAGGCGTTGAGGTTCATCATACTGCTAAGCAGAATACTCACTGGAAATCGTGTGGCATGGTAGGGAAGCTAGTATATTTGGTAAATGGCATGCACTTATATAGCGCCTTTATTCAAGTCAGGAGGCTTGACCAAAGCGCTTTACACTACATTCATTCACCCATTCACACACACACTGATGGTGGCAAGCTACATTGTAGCCACAGCTGCCCTGGGGCTCACTGACAGAAGCGGGGCTGCCGTACACTGGCGCCACCGGGCCCTCTGACCACCATCAGTAGACAATGCAGGTGAAGTGTCTTGCCCAAGGACACAACGACACTGAAAGTCGGAGTCGGGGCTTGAACCGTCAATCCTTCGATTTCAGGGTAAAACTCCTACATCCAACGCCACTGTCGCCCCTATTTATGAATGTTTTCATGATTATGGAGGCTGACTGTAAGGAGATGACGCCGTCTGCTCATGTGCTCTTTGTTATCTGAGAACTGAGGCAGAACTGAACCACGCCGAGACCTACTGATGAACTAGTACCATGGAAGTGCGGTTTGGTTGTCTCTGGTGCGGTTCGGTTCAGTTGTGCATGCCGTTTACCCTCAACACTCTCGGTTCCCGTGTTCAGACCGCTCTCTGCATGGTTTAAAAGGGTTAGCGTAAATGGGGCTTATGTGTGGTTAGAACAAGCCCACATCATGATTCCTCCTACTCCGTTCCTGACATCAGGATCCAATGCCAAAGCGTTGGGTTCGGTTTTCACCTAACTGGTTTGAGTGAGTTATAAAAATAAACCTAATTTGGTCTGATCAACCGCCTCTAACAAGCCATTCACCTTCAGCCGTCCTCTAACTTGCGCTAACATGAATTTTACCGTTCAACACGCTAACTGAGGCTTGATGCCAAGTTGTTTTTGTTCCTTTTTTTGGGTCGACTTTGTTGGGATAATCAAAGACTGCCACTTGACTCTTCATCCATTTTCTGTCTTCGAGGTGCACCCTGGACAACCACGCACAAGCATAATTATACCTAAGGGTAATTTAGAGAGCCAATTCCTCACAGTCAGGATTTTGGTTTGTGGAAAGAAGCAGGAGAACCTAGAGAGAACTTATGCATACAGCCGTAACACCCAAGGTCCCACATTTGATGCAGTAATAAGAAAAGAAACATTTTCCACTGAGCTGTAGTCGTTTTCATACTGAAGTAAAGTGCTTAAAATCTTTAGATATAGCCTTATAAATCCCAGTTTGATAATCTACAATAGTTTCTCTACGGTTATTGCTGGTATCTTTAAGCTTTATGTGTCGCACCAGAGCAGCACACTGACAAAAATCCTGCTTTTCGAGAGCTGAGGAGGATTTTTATTTCCTAAAATGTTTCCATTTAGTTTTTTTTTTTTTTTCATTTCAAACACTCCTGGGCATTTTTCATAGTGTTTATCACTGTCCAGAAAATTCTCTTGATTTTGATTTATCGCCTAAACTATAAATAAGAATAATGTTTAAAAAATATTTAAAAAATGGGTAAATTATCTGAATTTCTATATTTGCTTTTTGTTTTATTTTTTATTTTTTTCCATTGGGAGAATGAAAAATCTGAATAAAATGTGGTTACTATGGGATTTTTAGTGATTTAAATAACATTTCTGATATAACTGGTGCCCTAAAGAGAAGGTTATTTTAAATCAATTTGAACTTTTAAGATAGGGAACTTGCCTGGTGTCAGCATACGCTTTACACAAGGTGTCGGGGTTATGAACTTTCACTTCTGTGCTTCTCAAATGAAAAACAGGAAAGCATTCTTACAAAACATTTGACCGTCTTATGGCCTTTTTACACTATTTCCAATGAGTAACATATAGAACATATAAATGATTAAAAGCAATATAAAATACATAAATGAATAAAATGATAAAAACAACAGGAATCATAATAACTCCAACAATATATTTTTTATTTTCTTATCCTGGGCTTTGATTCTTCTCCTACTTTCAGTCCAAGCCTTCTCTTTTCCACTTAAGGATTTTTAAGGATTTGTTGTTTCTGGAGGACGGGGAGGAAATTTCTAATACCTGTGTTGTATATTAATGATGTATTTGTGTTTACATTAATCTATATGAGGCTCAGATGAGTCCCAGACATCCTGAAGTTGCTCTACAGCAGACATCTGCTTTTATGTTGTTGTTTTATTGCAGACACAGACGGAAAAGGTGGAACCCCAAAGAGCCAAATAGATCCAGGGATACACGTGATATCGTGTTTTAGGTTGAGCCGCAACAGGGAGGAATGATTAGATTAGAAAATTATTGGATGGGCAAGAATTTAAGGACAACATGGACATTCGTTTGCTGAATCACAAGCTTAATTTTAAGGTATATTTTATCTCCTCCCAGCAGAAGGAAACAAAAGCACCTGCAGCTTGAAGGCGAGGAGAAATGAACAGGATGAAGCACGCTGCATCCTTTTAACCTTTAAAACTGTTGATCACCGCACACATTTTAAAACCGAGGCTTGTGCAATTTACCTTCTTACATGTTTTCGTTTAGATATTCAATCATAAGACTTGATTGTCAGAGAAATAGAGGTGCAGAAAGCTGAGTGACCCACAGCTGGAGGGACGTGCCGCCCTCACAGAATCAGAGCTGCATCGCCTCGGATGTGATCGGAAACCTGATTCAGAAAACACATTTCTGCTTTTCTTTTTTCCTTTCAAAACCTCGGTGCAATGTGGTGAGCATAAATCCAAAGACCAGGCAGCCGTTTTTGGTTTTATTAAAACTCATATATTTAATACAGAATGGCAAAGGGCAACACATCAGGTGACAAATATCCTTATTAAATATTTACTCCTTTTAAACGGAGTGGCTCAAAAGAATGTAGCTTCACTGGAAGGTAAGATAGGAGAGAGATTTGTTTTATTAAATGAAAATGTAAAACAATCATCAGTAATTTGCTATTTAATTTACCTTATAATAATGTAAGGTATGTTGCTAAAACTTGCTTAAATTGTTATCATATATTCGCCTTATTCGTTTTAAGATTCCTGTATCATGTTT